GAAACATGGCACGGACAGACTAAACGAGTTTCTGCAGCACCTCAACGATTGGCATCCAAGCACACAATTTACCATGGAGATATAGAGTGACCAACAACTGGCCTTCTCGGACGTACTAGTCAGGAAGCGAGGTAACAAGCTGGGTCACACAGTGTACAGGAAACCAAACGCACCCAGACAGATACCTGCACGCTTTGTTCAATCATCAGCCAAGTCTGAAGTATGGAGTCATCAGAACCCTGACAGAACGAGCTCGAAGGATATGCGAACCAGAGAACCTCCAGACAGAACTTGAATACCTGAAAACTGCGTTCGAAGCAAATGGCTACAGCAAGAGGGACATCGAAAGATCAATGGGCCAGGCCACGTGAAACCGAACAGCGTCCCTCACCTCTCAAGCGTATCTTCCATTTGTGCCAAGAGTCACGGTCAGGATTGGCAGAGTCCTGAAGAGACATGACATTAAAACAATCTTCAAGCCTACAAAGTAGATCCAACAAACCATCATAACGGCAAACGACAAGAAGGACTCACTCTCAGCTGCAGGAGTCTACCCCATACCGTGTTCATGCGGCAAATTATACATTGGAACCACAAAAAGATCAATGGGAATGAGACTCAAGTAGCATAAAGCAAATTGCCGTCTAGGACAAACTGAAAAGTTTGCGGTAGCTGAACATGCACTAAGCAATGGGGACCACAGGATACACTTTGGGAGCTGCAGGTTGCCGTCATCAGTCAACGGCTATCATAATAGACTGATTAGGGAAGCTATCGATATTCACAAATATCCAGATAACTTCAACAGGAAGGAAAAGACCCTCAGACTCAACCCGATCTGGCACCCGATCCTCAGAAACGCCTGAGCAGTGCCGATCGACATCCCGAAGTCAACCGAAGCGACACAACCAATTCTGGCTCTGAGGTACAGATATGGTTTGGAATAGCCATCGAACAGGTCAATAATATGGTCAATATTACGAGACAGCTGAAGTACTATTCTTCATTAACAATGTATAGAAATTAGGTACATCTATGGTAGACTAGCGTTACATTTTGCTTGTGATAGCAAATTCCACATGACTGGTGATAACTATGGAACAGGACTGTACGTATGAGCATCTCCGGTGAGGAAATCACCGAAGTTCTAAGGTTCAGTAATAACGGAAGTTAAATATCATTATGCCCGATTAACGTTACATTTCGCATAGATGGCACTCGAACAGCAGGGCGCTCTGGATTGTGTTGTCTTAAAAGCCATGTAGTCTGTTTCAATAGATGACGCATCACCACGATGATGCGGCGACCTCAGTATAATTATTGTTCGCGCGTTGTTCCAAGGCTGACACTTCGAGGGCAGATCGTGTTGATGACGATAAATGAATAAATTCTGTTCTATTCTAGCCATCTCAGGTGAACCCTGAGGTAACGGAATCCATAATAGACATTGTCGCACGCAGGGATGCGAACTGTGTACAGCAACATGTGAGCTGTTCATTAACTGCAAGTGGCAATACTCTATCCTCTGGGTTCAAAGAAGGGAGAGTAGAGCATGGTGGCAGATATTCACATTAAAGCAAATAACTCAGGAGTACTCTGACAGAGGCTTCCAGTGATATCTTGCTCTTCGGTATAGGTCTGACCAAGTAAGTCAATACTAAATAGAAATCAGATGAACAGAGCAGCAACTGAAGGACAAAAGGCCCGACAACGTACTGACAACCTCAACCCACTATTACAGATGAGGTGTGTAGATCAGCATGGATGTTAACGCGTATTCATCATCAATGGAAGAGCTTTAGGAGTGGCGCTAAAGTCCTGAGTTGGACTCAAGTGGTCACTTGCCATTCAGATGGCGACTGGTTTAGTACTTTGCCATAGCTGAATCTCATTAGTCCATGAATTGCTTAGCTGCGGTGCTATCAGTAAAATCAGCACATATCCAACATTGTCTTGCCCCCAAGTCTGATGGGTCAACACGTTTGATTCCTTACATTAAGACTGTTTGTTTATAGGGATATAACACTTAAGTCTAGGCTATTGTCAAACTTCTCTGTAGGGATACTTTCTTAACGAATCTGGATTTGAAATATGCAGGGATTTTGGTACCCGTTACGGAAAGTGATAGAATATATTTCAGATTCATATTCAAGGGACAGCTCTTCCAATACAATGCTGTACCGTTTAGGGTAAATTATACCCCTTATGTGTTCAAGTTCAAGTTAATAGAACCGTTTATGGAATACCTTAAGAAGAAATTGAGCACTTTCAGGCTCAGTATTAAATTGTGACAGAAAGAAAGTAACTTCACCTGAGCGGACGATGCAGACATTACTAAACCTAGTAATCTTTGCGGTGAACATCGGGATCTTGGTGTCAGCTTGTCTTTAATTTCGTTACAGCCGGCTATACACTAACGACTGAAATTTCTTGCATTGTAAAATTCTCAAGGGAATTTTAACGCTACTATGCGACTAACATAATATAACTTAAGGTCTACCTCGGCTCATAGAAACTGGCAGATGCGGTCAGAGGTATTGAATTATCCAATTTTTAATTGTGTAATTTCTCGGTCTGGGACATTCGTTGGCCAGGGAAGAGTCTCATAGTTTTTGGTCACCCGAGAAGAAGATCCCGCATGCTAATCATCAAAAATCGCTGGTGGTTTTATTCTGTGGCGAATGCTTTGTTACCGAATTTATGCGCCGTCGCATATTATACTCCATCCTACATCAATACATTGGAGAGCTTCTAGTTTCCTCGTCTGGACCAGGTTGCGGAAAAACTACGTCACAAATCTCTTATGCCAAACAACAGCTTTGCTCAAGCGGCATTTGAGGTGGACCAAACATAATTATTTTATTACGTTATTTGCTTATTAGCATGTAACGGATGGTAATTTTTGAACCAGGTACGTCATATTACTTGTTGCTAAAAGCCCCAACTTGAGTTGTCACAATCGAAATGTACAACCTGTCGTTTACTATTGCAGTGCCTCAGTAGTATGTTGTTGCAACTAGCTGTGAACATCTACAATATGTATTCTAAATATTTACTTCGACGAGGACGGGACATAATTACATGATGAACAACTTGGCTTTGAAGAAAATGAATGTTTATTGGCGGCCAGAGGGGAGGAAGGTAGGGGGAAGGGGCGGGGTGCCGCTTTGCTTCGCTGCTTGCGCGCTTTGAAATCGTGGGGCTTTGGTACAACTGCGAGGGTGCTACAATATGTATTTTAAATATTTACTTCGACGAGGACTTCACATAATTAAGATCGAACATCACTTACAGGTAAGTTCGTAAGTACGAGAAATCCTTTTTTCAGGGTCTATCTAGTGTTTCTGAAAGAGGGCGACATCTCCTCTTGTGGGTGCTAGAGACCTACTGGGAGGCGGTAAAGAGCCATAAAGAAATTGGAGGGCGTTGAACTGATTTGGGGCAGAGACAATGGATAATTTTGGTCCGCCGCTCTTGAATAGTCACAATGATATTTGCTCTCAGAGGCACTGATGCAAACGACCTCTCCCTTAATTTTCTACTGTCGATATCACCTCCCCCTCTTCGATGTTGAAATGTAAGTACCTATACAAGCGAGGCATCACATGATCTCTGTCACCTTTATGCTAAAATATAGTATTCATGTATCAATTTCATCACCCCAAACTTCAGCATGCCTACTTCACCCATTCAAAAATTGAGTGTGGTGGGACCTTCTTGAGAAGCTCTGTATGAATAAAGAATGTAACATCGTATCGTTATTTTATAGTTTTAGGAATTCTACATACATGATGGTGATATTTTAGAGGACATTTTTATTCTTAACATATTTTTCATTATAAGCGCAATCTGCGGCAAAGTATGTAGTATCCTTTTGTATTGAAAAACAAATTGAGTTGTTGTTTCAATAATTTCGCCTTTCACCAAAACCAGTTGTTACCAGGTTATCAAACGGCAATCTTCATCCACAGCTCTAACTGTCACCACGGAGACTATAATACCTTAAATCCATTTTCAAGCAAAGTGCCTCGTGTTATAATAAGGCGTGCAGTACTCCCAGTTCCACCCAATTCGCCAGAGCGACAATAACCGTAAAATTCTCCGATTGTATCTATAAAGTGAAAATACTGTTACACCTCCACGGCACCATTAAGATATTTCCGTTCGATAAAAAAATTGGCAGATAAATAGTATTAGTGCTGGATGTAATACGGTGGTAACGCTTGTTTTGTTTGCTGACAAGTGCAAAAACAGATAGTTTGTCGGGATGTTAGTTCGTTAACTTCGGGCAAAATACTACAAGGTGGGAGCTGTCTATTAAAATCATTTATAACCTATAATGTGCTGCCAGTAATAATCAGTTGATAATGTATTATGGATAATTGATCTATGGCAATCTATTTAGTAGAAGCTCAAGTCAAGGTCTTTATTGGCTGTCAGGGTTAGGGGACGTTAGCTCAAGATCACACGGGCCGTAGTATCAATTCAGATATAGTAACCCAGAAACCAGAAAAATGTTCAGGAATACCTTTTGAAACGGTGCAAAAAGATTTGGTTTTCGTAATGGTTTGAATTTCGGCAACTCTCAATTCATGAATTAATTTTTGTTACAGTGTGGGCCGAGGTCCTTTGTGATTGCGAACTTGCTCAACAACGTAATCTACTGATTAGCGCAACAGAGGGTTCGCATGCGATTCCTTTTGGCTATAGCATCGATGTCCTTTCATGTAGTCTCTTAGGTAAGGGATATTGAGGTCTTTCTGGAGGGTTTCATTAGAGACGTACCACAGGGCGTCCGTCAGTGATGATGTGCAACGTCCTGCTTGCGCTTGTGTTTTGACAATAAGACACTAAGCCTCACAGGCATAAGTTATCGCTGGTCTTATGTTGTTTCACTTTTAGTTCCTTCGTAGTACCAAGCAAAGCAATGGTCCTTTTTGCTATGACCTAACAACACTTTCAGTTTGACACCGTTACTCCACTGGACCCTGTCAACTAACCTGTTATACGAGGTTGACCCCTATATTTTCTTGTATGGATGCGATCATTGTGAGTTTCATTAAGCACAGGCTTTTTACTATCAATGTTACTTACCTCAAGTCCTCCGTACCGCAGGGCCGCCCCAATTTTGCCGTAGAACTGATTCTGAAGAACGCCTCTATAAATGAACCTATCCGATCAGAACTATTGTGATCAGTGACCTCACTTCAACACATAACATTATATACTGCATTACCCCGGGCCTTTTACTAACTGAATGATGAGCATCGAAATTTATTTTTGTCACCTTATTGACAAACAATATACAGTGCTTTTCAGAAAACCCCACTCAGCTTATTTTTTAACATGCTGAAATTCGGGAAGATGAAATTCACTTTCGAATGCAAAATTTAGTGTAAAAATAAAACTTTAAGCTTCCAAGATGACAACTTAGAGCAATCTTGTAAAGTTCTTTCCAATGGAATGGGGGTCATGTGTTACCTTATTTTAAAGCCGTTTGTGAGTACTTTTTAAAACAAGAAAATAGAAATTACTACCTTTCAAAATAGGCGACTGTCAGGCTTATATCAATCTTTTTGTTTTGGATCTACCTAAATGTACAATAAAATTTGACAGTTTTTGACAATTCTTGTCATAGTGTCCCCCCATATTTAATTCCAAAATGAGAGTATTGGTATAATATACTATAGTGTTCTGAGGGTTGGTTGTTAAGTTCCAAGCGACTCAATGTACAAAAACGCACAACTTTGACTGCCTGTCAGTTCAACATTTTAAAAGGTTGTGAATTTATAATAGGTCATTATAACCATGAAGAGCTTCAAAGCGAGGTAACAAACGATCCCTTTTTTGATATTACCATAGTGATTCGTAAAGAGCGAAATTCGGTCAGAAAAAGCCTCCTCACCTTTTTAAATAGCAATAGAAGCAAATATTATGTAGTAGATTCTACCGAAGATAGACAATCAAATGAGAACTTCAAATTAGTTAGCCATCTTTTAATAACGTCCTACACAAAGAACTAGATATACGTCAAACACTATCTTTTTGGGAAACAATATATACAAGGTGTTTCATGAGTAAACGGGCATAATTAAATAGTAGACAGTATGTGGACCTTGGCCAATTTATATTTGAAAACAGGAAAGCTCTAAACTTATTTCCCAAACTTTTTTTGTTGTGGGTGTAAATGGTGATAATATTGGTTATGTCAGGCACTATTAAACCGGTTTTGATAGAATTTGTGCACAATACCTAGCTAAACGTGTATCCTCCACTGGATATTTCAAATGCATTAAAAGCGAACATGCAAGAAAATTGTTGATCCAAGTTTCATAATGATGCCTTGCATGGCAGGCAGTTAAGCTTAAGGCAAAATACTCCTTCAAAATGAACTGATAATGAAGAATGGTGATTTGATGATCATACGACAAAAAAGTCTCGAATAAAACATTGGCTTTTTCGAATTAATACCCACGTCGGACTAACAAGACATTTACTTAATGGAATCAGGATATCTACTTTGGACATTACTTAAATCTTTTTCTAGATAACAGATGCTATTAAAATATGAGCGTCATATTTTAGGGTTAAGTGTTGCTGTTAATCATATTGATACGGTAAATTGGTGTTAATTTAATAATATTGATATCGGTAATGAAATACCGGGAGTTAGACGAGGTTATCACTGTCAACACCCGAATGGTTTGCGATTATTTTTACTGTTATCACTATTGTGACATTAATAAATATGTAGATTAATTTTAGATGATTAAGTTGGGTGAAAAACGTGCTCACAATGATAAGTTCAGCAGACTGTTACTAATGCATAAATGCAATTATTGAAGAAATCAGTAAGATTTGAAGGATACAGATACTTTTTGGAATATTTCTATTGACGTTCAACCAAGGAATACATGATAAAAACCAACGTTAAGTTGTCCTCGTTACCACTGAGTAGTCTTGAAAATAAGTGCCACTTACAGAGATGGTTTTCATGTGTACTCATCGGAGTTTTTCTAATGGGAGGCGATTAGACGACGGCAAGTAAGCGAATGAAAGCGCTTCAGTCTCCAAATGCTTTTGAAAAGCGTACTGGGTGCCAAACATGAAAACCATAGAAAACCCTAGTAAATATGAAGATTTGGAAAAGCAATAGAATAGGGGATGAGTACAACGTCCACCATGCCCCTTCTCGTTTTATTTCCAAAACGTCTCCGTGGAAGTATAGCCAACATACTACTAGCAATGTTTCCAGTATCAACAAGTATCTGTTTTTTGAGGTGTCAGTCGAAACTGTTCCAAAAACGTCAAATTCTGAATTATAATAGCACATATATGCGACTGGCTGATATTGGGTTTATTGATGTAGATCTGGATCTATGAGAATACGAAATGAGCCCAAAACAACAAATTTTAGAGAGATGCAAAAACAGTATCCAAACATGAAATTAAACGTAAAACTCCTGAAAATAATCATATACGTACGCATTGGCAAAATGTAGCTTTCTAAGGGGAACAAGGCGTTCGAACTTGAATTCTACCAATATTTACCCATTTCTGATAAGCATGAGAAAAATTCGCGAAAATAATGATGTTCAGCCAATTGTGCCTTAGCGTGCTGGGATTTAATTTTAAAAATATCGGTATTGCAATCATCATCAAAGGAACAGAAATACAAATCGCACATGAAAATCATTCATTTTATTTTTCTGTATAGGTGTAAATGTGATGATGGAGTGACTACTGGAAAATACTAGTCTTTAGAGAGCAAACGAATTGTGGATTTTTTTCTACCTTTGAGATCGAAAATTATAATACCTCTTTTTAGGGTATTATGCGTAATGGTTACCGTTATACTTTATCTGAGCTTCCTGTAAATTATTACGAATAACATACCACATTACATAATTCGTTGATACATAATCTTTATGTTTTGTACAAAGTAGCAGTGTTTTCTGGTAATATTTATTTTTCGCTATTTAGTTTGTAGCGCTGTATGCGATACGCTGTGGATACTAAGAAACCATCAGGCATAGCACTTAATACAATATATAAATATACTAAGTGACATATAAATCCGAACACCCAGTTTAAATGGTTTTATTTTAATAAAAGTTGGTGAATGTATTTATCTTACTGTAAATAACAAGTAAAAAAATTTTCAGCCTTATCAGTTGGACATTCCGGTTTTTATACTGCTTTTTTTTAATTCACGAACGCTCTAAAAATGATTATTTCAGCCGCAGTAAAGAATCAACGTTGGCGGATATTGGTTCTTGACATCCTTTACGATCGGTTACGATGCCTAGAGTACGGAGACCTGTACGATTTCGTCAACTTAGTGAGTTTGATAGGGGCCGTATAGTGGGACTTTGGGAAGCTGGACCTTGTTTTCGGGCAACTGCAGTTGGAGTGCAAAGAAGTGTAGACACTGTGGTTAGGTGTTGTCAGGCATGGCTTCGAGAAGGCCGTACGCAAAGAGCAAGGGGCACTGGACGCCGCCGTAGAACAACAGACCGTGAAGATCGCCGCCTAAGATTATTGGCCTTAAGGGACCGTTTCTCCACTACCAGGTCCAATGCAAATGAATGGTTTGCAGAACACGGAAGACCTATTGGCATGCGAAGTGTTTACCGACGAATGAGAAGTTTTGGCTTGTTTTCGTACCGGCCACACTGGGTCCTCCCTTTAACTCGAGAACACCGACGTAATCGCCTTGAGTGGTGTAGACAACGGTCACTCTGGGATCAGGAATGGAACAGTATTGTCTTTAGTGACGAGTCTCGATTTTGTTTAGGCATGCACGATGGTCGTGCCAGGGTTAGAAGGCGACGTGGTGAAAGGAGGAATCCACAGTTTTTTGTTGAAAGACATGTTCATCACACTGGTGGAGTTATTGTTTGGGGTGCTATAGCTTATGGTTCCAGGTCACCTTTAATCTTCATCAGAGGTAACATGAACGCGCAGCGTTATATCCACGAAGTTCTAGAACCCCATCTTTTACCCCATCTTGACACCCCGGCAGATCGAACTTTCCAACAAGATAATGCCCGACCACATGTTGCAAGAGTCACAATAGACTTCTTTCAACATAATGATGTCACATTGTTACCATGGCCACCAAGATCTCCCGACTTATCCCCAATTGAGCACGCGTGGGATATGATGGGTAGGAGATTGCTCCTCCTCACTTCGAGAGAAGATGGTGGTTTCCTGTAATGAGATACCACAGGGGGACATTGACCACCTGATCAGAAGCATGCCTAGGCGCGTTGGAGAATGCGTAGCACATCAGGGTGCATCCACACATTATTAAAGGTCAAAGGGCTTTAAAGCAGTGCAATCATTTTGAAATTTTTATCATTTACTTATTATGCTTCATTAACTTCTTATACAAAATTTTATTAAAATAAAACCATTTAAACTGGGTGTTCGGATTTATATGTCACTTAGTATATAATAATATAAAAGTTTTGCTATACAGCTTTATTTATTGACTTCATTTAATGTAATTTCCACCACATTCAATACACTTCTCCATCCGCTAAAACCAGTTCTTAAGCCAGCTCTGTCAAGTTTCACCCGGGGGTGCGGCACACTCGTTGTCCCAAGCCCTCAGAAGGCACTCATCGCTAGAAAACCGTTTTCCTTTTAGCTTCATTTTTACATCAGGAAACAGTGAAAAGCCACAGGGAGCAAGATCTGGACAATAAGGTGGGGGCTCGATGAGTTTTAGTCCAGTATTGGTCAAATACTCAGTACAGGCTTTGGCGCGGTGAGCTGGAGCGTTGTCATGGTGGAGGTACCAAATGTGTCCACACCGTCCACAATCCCGCTCGAATTGAAAAATACAGCTGTTGGTAGAGAAGTGGACTGTATTTTTTTTCAGCTTTTATTTTACTTTCACAATCCTAGCTGGTATTATTTGAATAACAATAATTGTTTTGTACGGCGTCGTGTCTGTGTGTCGACGGCTCGATCATGTCATCTTGCAATATGGCGGCCACCCCTTCCTCTTCTCCTAGTCGGCGTTGCCACGTTGTGGCTGTTTTACGTGATCTGGCGGAAAGGAGCTCAACATAACTCCCCACCTTGAAGGGCCAGGCCTTCAACATCTTAGTCGTGGATGGGTAAAGGACATAGTTTGGAGAATGCCCTTTTGACTTCACCACGCTGTGTCTTCAACGTAGCCACTCTAGAAACACCATGAACGTCTCTGGACACAGATAACACTCGACCAAGCATCCACTTCATTGGTGGGATGTTATCTTCTTTAATCAGAACCAACATTCCTGGTTCCAGCACTCGTTGATCATCTGTAGTCCATTTCTTTCTGCGCTGCAACTCTGCCACGTATTCCACGTTCCATCGTTTCCAAAAATGCTGCTTGACGTTTTGAATTTTTTGAAATTGAGACAGTTTGTGTTGCTGTATATGCGTAACATCAGGATCTGGCACCTCGCATGTAGTCCTTCCCAGGATGAAGTGAGCCGGGGTTAAAGGAAACAGGTCATCGGGGTTGGTGGATAAGGGAGATATAGGTCGCGAGTTCAAAATAGCTTCTATCTGAACAAGTATGGTGTATAACTCCTCAAACGTAAAATGTTGTTCACCAACTACACGTTTTAAATGATACTTAACTGATTTTATTCCTGCCTCCCATAGGCCTCCAAAGTGAGGCGAATGCGCGGGAATAAACTGCCAATGGATTTCGTCTTTAGTAAATGCCTCACAAAGTAAATCTTTATTTTTGTCTAAAAAGGTACCTAGTGCCCTTAATTCCGAATTTGCGCCTACGAAATTCCTCCCATTATCGGACCAAATTTGACGGGGTTTTCCTCTTCGAGATACGAATCGTCTTAAAGACAATATGAATGATTCCGTAGACAAATCTGTGACCAACTCAGTGTGCACGGCTTTTGTACAAAAACAAATGAATAAGCAAACGTAGCATTTCACTAATTTTGCACCGCGTCCTTTTTTATCTTTCATAAGCAATGGGCCTGCAAAATCTTCTCCAGTTATTTCAAATGGATATTGACCTTCAAATCTAGATTTTGGCAAATTTCCCATAATGGGATTCAAAATTCTAGAGTTATGTCTAAAACATATAACACATTTTTTTATCACAAATTTTACAAGACTATTTCCGGAAGGTATCCAGAATTTTTCACGGAGAGACGCCAGCAACGCTTGGGGCCCTACGTGATATAATCGTAGGTGTTCTCTTTCACAAATCAGTTTTGTGAGGTTATGTTTAGGAGACAAGATAATGGGATGTCCCTTGTCATAATTATACGCACTATTTGTTAGTCGGCCTCCAACACGCATTATGTAATTTTCGTCTAAATGTGGGTTGAGGGTCAAAAGTTTGCTTTTTTTACTAATTTTTTTGTCTGATTTTAAATCAGAAATTTCCTGACCAAAACACTCCCTTTGTGCAGCTTTAATTAGACACATGAAAGCATGATCGATCCCCTCCATTGTAAGGATGCCCATTATCCTTTTTTCAGTACTCGTGGATGAATTTTTTATGAAGCGAAATAAATACGCAACGACACGTTTGAGTTTTGTTAAAGTTGAAAATTTATCAAAAGGAAAAGAATTTGCGTGGAATGATAACAGATTGGTACTCTTTTCTTTGAATTCAGGTAGCTTGTTCTCGTCTTGCCCTGGGCGAGGCCATTCTGATTCATCATTCAATAGGAAAGGAGGCCCTGCCCACCACAAACTATTCACCGTTAAGTCCTTAGGGTACATTCCTCGAGATAAAATATCCGCAGGGTTCACTTTAGTTGGCACGTGTCGCCACTGACATAGGTTTTGAGTTTCTAAATTTTGTATTTCAGACACTCTATTTGCCACAAAAGTCTTCAATAAATTTGGTATGGTTTTGAGCCATCCAAGAACTACTGTGGAATCGGTCCAGCAGTAAATGGTATCAAAGACTATTTTAACCGAATTCACAACCTTGTAAATTAACTTGGCCAAAATCAATGCACCGCATAATTCCAACCTTGGAATACTAATTGTTTTTAGCGGAGCCACCCTTGACTTTGCGCATAATAAGGAAACGTGAATTTTTCCATTCGTGTCTATAGATCTCACATATATTGCTGCTCCGTATGCTTCTGCACTCGCGTCAGAAAATCCGTGTAATTCAACTTTCATAGCATCATCACAAATAACCTTGCGATTAATTTGTATCTTATTCAATTCCATTAAACTATTTTTTAGTTTGAGCCATTGTTTTCCTAATTCTGGCGATAGTGCTGAGTCCCAGTCTATTTTTTCTAGCCATAATTTCTGAAGCAATACTTTAGCTATAATAACACACGGACTGACTAATCTCATGGGATCAAACAATTGACTTATGTCTGACAAAATTGACCGTTTTGAGACCTTATCATGATCCTCACTCGGTGACACTTCAAAATTGAACGTATCAGATTTTTTATTCCAGGATAGACCAAGTGGTTTAAAACATTCTGTTCTATTTATCACCAACGAGTCAGTTTCCGACGTTGAGACATTCATTTTTCGCAAAATTTCATCACTGTTAGAACTCCACTTTCGTAATTCAAATCCTCCGCTCTTCAAAATTTTGAAAACATCATTGCCTAACTTTACCACACTATCAATACTGTTGGCACCCATTAACATGTCATCGACATAGAAACAGTTCAAGATTATTTCCGAAGCGTCGGGATCTGAAACTTGATGTTGTATAGACAATTCTTTGATGCACCTCGTTGCTAGATATGGCGCGGATTTTGTCCCGTACGTTACTGTTTTGAGTTCGTAAGTGGCTAATGGCAGAGAAGGGTCATCTCTCCATAAAATGCGCTGCAAACATTGCTGCTCTTTTTCGACTAAAACTTGTCGATACATTTTTTCGACATCTCCGCATAGAACAAAACGGTAAGTTCTAAATCTTAAAATGATTGACATCAAATCATTTTGCACGACTGGCCCTAACATTTGTAAGTTATTTAGTGAGTAACCCGTAGTTGATGGCGCAGAAGCATCAAAAACTACTCGCAATTTAGTTGTCAAACTGTTTTCGCGTAAAACGCCATGATGAGGCATATACGAGGCACATCCAGAAAGTAAGTGTACTCAATTTATGTAGGGTTCAAAAAAAATTTATTAAAACCATAATATACTTGGTTACACTTGTACATATGTAAGTTATTTTTCGACATAGTCACCATCCCTCTCGATGCAAGTGGTGAGCCGCGGGATCAATTTTTTGATGCCGGCCTCGAAGAAGTCTCCCGCCGGCTCTTTCGCCCACTTCTCCACCTCCCCCTTCACCTCCTCGTCCGTTGAAAACTTGTTTCCACCCATGTGCCCCTTTAGGGAAGTGAAGAGATGGAAATCTGAAGGAGCCAGGTCAGGGGAATACGGGGGGTGATTCAGAACGTCCCATCCAAAAGAGTCCAGGAGTTGCTTCGTGGCGTTGGCCGTGTGGGGTCTGGCATTGTCGTGCAACAGGCAGACTCCCTTCGTCAGCATGCCCCTCCTTTTATCCTGAATCGCCCTTTTCAATTTTTTTAGCGTCTCACCGGAGCTTTTCCCTTCACAACGAGGTAGCGAATGACGGCGCGAATTTCGCACTTGGCGGGAGATACGATCGACATTTTTCGCGAGAGATGTTACTGCGTCAAGAGTTTTCAACACACTAACCTCAGATTGGTCTCTTTTTGAAGGGGAGGGGTCAGGCTACGCGGCAGTGTTGCCAACATGTCGAAAAAGTATTCTCTACAGCTGTGAGAATACCAGTACACTTACTTTCTGGACGTGCCTCGTAATAAACATTGTCGCTGTAACTTACTCCATCCAACTTTGTCATGTGACCTAAAGATTGGTATTCTAATATGAATGCCTTATACATTTCTTTAAACTGAGGATTTGCCTCAAGTTTCCTTTCTAAACTCAAAAATCTTTTTTCAGCATGTTCTCGGGAGTCGCCGAGTTTGCTTATATCATCCTTGAAAGGAATAGACACAATAAAACGACCGTCATTACTTCGCCTCGTGGTTTTGCTAAAGTGTTCTTCACACATTGTTTCTTCATATGATAGCGGATTCACGCAATTGACTTCCTCAATTTCCCAAAATCGCGTTAATTGGTTTTGGAGATCTTGATTTACCGAAAAATTACAATAAGTACTGTTGTAACAGGCAACAGCGTTATTTGGTACATTGCCTGAGACTATCCAACCTAAACGTGTTCGCTGTAATATGGGCAAGCCCGGCCCTAGCTTCGTCTGACCAATGCATAGTAAATCGTAAAATAACTCAGCACCTATCAACATTGAAACCTTGGCTGGAATATTGAAATTTGTATCCGCTAACCCGATATGTTTTGGAATATTCAATTTGCCAACATCAATAGGAACATTTGGTATGAGCCCGGTAATCTCAGGAATCACAAAACAACTCACAATTTTTTTATAATCATTCCGTATAGACTATTTCCACTGAACATCTATGTTTTATTCGAGAAGCCGTGTTGTTTATTCCCTCAACAGTCAAATCTATTGTTTCCTTTTTAATTCCCAACTGATCACATACATCCGAGGTTAAATAGCTTGACTGACTGCCCGAATCAAGAACCGCTCTGACAATTGCGCTTTTTCCATGTTTTCCCCGGACTATAACAGATGCGGTGGACAACAACACGAAGTTATTGGAACTGAACACTGATATCGCGACTGATGCCGTTTCCGCGCGCTCCCCACCGTTTGAATTTGACGGCTGTTCGAACGTATCGTTTGAATTTCGCGGCGCTTCCCCAGCGTCGTTTGCGGAATGAGCAGATTCTAGCTCTGTTGCCAAATTGCTTCTCGACGTTTCTTTGTGCAATAGCACATGATGTTTATAATTGCATCTTTTACAAGTGTTTGCTCTGCAGACGGTACTAAAATGTCCGGGTTTCAAACAATTCAAACACAAACGTAGTTGTTTTGCCTTGTCAATTCTTTCGTTGACACTTAATTTATTAAAAATGCCGCAACCTGAAATCCAATGATTTTTTTTGCACACAACACAGGATGCATTTGCAGATAACAAACCTCTTGTTTGTCCTATTCTGTTATGTTTACTCTCAAATTTCTCAGCTGCTTTTTCTTGATTCTTCGATTCAATCGTTTGAAGAAAGTCAGCACGATCAATTAAAAATTCTCTAAACTTTTCAATAGTAGGTCCCCTGAATTTTTTGTTTTGTTTTTCCCAATCCTGATTAGTTACTTTTGGCAGTTTTGAAGTTACAATGAAAATAATTAACGCATCCCAATTATCAATTGGTTGGCCTAACTGTACAATGGATCTGAGGTGTTTAGACAATGTATCTATTATTTTCCTCAGCTCAGATGCCGATTCCCTCATGATTTTTTCTATATTGAAAATGCCTTGTATGTGCTGATGCACCAGCACCTTTTCATTGTTATACCTCTCCTTGAGAGCCTTATACGCATTCTGATAATTATAACTTGAAAACTCTAAGGATACTAAAATATTTGCGGCATCACCGACTAAGGATGCACGCAGGTAGTGAAATTTTTGTATATCAGTGATGTGATCATTGAGATGGATCAGAGATTCGAAAGTATCTCTAAACTCCAACCATTTGTCTGATCGCCCATCAAATTTTGGCAGGTCGATAGTGGGAAGACGTACGTTTAAATTTTCATCAACATTTTGGTGTGTAATTCGCGATCGGGCACTTACTTCGCTTTTATTTGAGCCGGCATCAGACTTTATACTTTCTTTAACGCTGGCACTGGTTTGATTCGAACCGCAAGATTTGACGCTTTTTATGCTCTCTACTTCTGACGATTTTTTCAACAACTGTTTCAACCTGGCCAAACACCTATCGTATTTGTTTTCGAAATCAACCCTTTCTTGAAACTGATCAGGTTCGTCTGATAGCGATTCAATTTGACATTGTATCCCCGCGAACTCGTCCCACAAAAGAGGCATACGATCGGCCTTTTGTTTCCATTCTACAAATTGCAATTCTTCAATACTTGAAATATCCTTTTCAACTGCATCTAGCTGTTTTACTAGATGAGTTAATCTAAATTTTACTGATCCTCTTTTTTTGATTAAAATTTTAAGCAATTGACCGTCATCTACAGTATCATGTTGGTCGGCCATTTTCAAATTATTTATTTTAGGCAAATGCAAAATTCAAATAAAACAACTCGCTAAGGATTACGTTAGGAAAGCGGATAAACTAGGAACGACTCACAGGGTATCTCCCACGATGTCCTTCAGGTGCATGGAATCAGCGTCGGCGACGGCAACCACCAGGGTATCTCCACAGCGGCAGCAACGTAGCTCCGGGTCCTGCAGAGTGTCTTCTGCACGGGCACAATTTTATTGATTCCCAATCCGCGATCCGGCTTGACTTGGACCAATTTATGTTGGTAGAGAAGTGGACTGTATTTTTTTCGGCTTTTATTTTACTTTCACAATCCTAGCTGGTATTATTTGAATAACAATAATTGTTTTGTACGGCGTCGTGTCTGTGTGTCGACGGCTCGATCATGTCATCTTGTAATATGGCGGCCACCCCTTCCTCTTCTCCTCGTCGGCATTGCCACGTTGTGGCTGTTTTACGTGATCTGGCGGAAAGGAGCTCAACAACAGCTATCAGTTTTTTCAATTGATTGGGTTTTTCTGACAGCTTGGCCTTGGTCGGCACATCGTAATATTAGAGCCAAGTCACGTCACCTGTCTGCTCTTCCGTCAGCCTTTGCGGTACCCAGAGAGAACAAAGTTTCCTTATGACGAAATGGTCGAGCAGAATTGAATGAATTGCTAGTGCATGAAGGTGTAAGGTCTCGTCTATCTATTGGTATGCCAATCTCTGGTCTTCGACAAGCATTTTCCTCACAGCAGTAATGTTTTCCTCTGTTACTGACGTTCACAGCCTTCCTTTCCTCTGAGCGTCCTCCAGAGTGAAGTTGCCCCTTTAGAATTCTCTGTACCACCTAAATATAGTCGTACGATGAGGACAATTATTTTTGGTCTATGCTTAAACCACGCGTAAACTTATACTGTAGACCTGCCCTTATCTCACTACGTGATCACGCCCTGCTGGCGGATACTATGCACTCATGGACATGTTTTAACATGCGGTAACTTGTAGCCTCCTGCGTCCGTTTGTTAGGTTGTATTGAAAAACTATTATAGTACCCTTTGTAGGTTAGTATATTCTAAAAACAAAATGCAGAACCGAAGTAAAGCTGTCTTAATAGCCAGATTGCTACTGTTATATAATGTAGCGTGATACTCATAGAAGACTTTCTGTTAATATGATACAAATATATGTCATCCTTATCCACACCCCTGATCCCGTTTTGTATAGCCAAAAAAAAGTTATAATAGTGTTTCTTTAGATACTATCTTGATGCTGTAATCTAAACTATTTCAGCATGTCTATACGTCGTTCACGCATATTAGTCACAAGCTTCCTGAATCGACCGCAAGAGATTCAGCACACTGAGTAGTGACTAACAGTTTCCAATTCACTACACCAATTAGAATATGCTGAATCCAATCATTCTGCAGAAACTGCAGGACCCAATTGATAGAATAGTCTAAGCGCAGGTGAATAAATAGGTTATGACAGGCTTTGACTTAGCTTATACTATTGACTAGCAAAAATAATGTTACAAATATATTGATTAGTCTAGTACATATTCTTGATCTTCGCCGCGCCGGCTGAAAATATGTAATGACGTATTAACAGCATAAATCAAAGGCCTGTTTTGAATTATCGAAGAAACAGAGGCGAACATATCGATGGAGTATGAAAAAAAAGGCGTCAAGTAGATTGGCTTTATACTTCTCACTACTGGACAAATGGAATTTAAATATGCAACAGGTACAAAGTAAACTTTGGCATTATGAGTGTCAGTAAAAAACAGTACTGCTGACTCAAGGAGAACTAAATTGTGTACTTAGAATATGGACCACGTATGGTATGTGAGTGAACTTTCATACTTTCGGGTATATTCACCATTAACCAGCTCTGGAAATATCTGTTGGTTTTTTGGAATAAACATAATTACGGATAATGTATTTTTTTGAAATGATGTCATTAGATCCTCACGCGTCACCTTCGACCTCGATGACGCTGCGGCTGAGGCAGCGTGGACGTTGCTGAATTAGGATCTGACTCTCCACAGGTAAACGGTTCCACGTGTTTTTTTTGTTGCTAGAGTCGCCAACGTGAGTATTATGAAAAATATGAGTGATATGTAAAACAGGTGGATGATACTAGCGGGATCACAAATTCATCATTGATACGAAGGTTGCTATATCCACAGTCCGTAACCCCCTACATTTTTACTGAAAATAATCAGCAGCCTCTGAATCGTCAAAAAAAAAGTTTCAGCGATCTTCGTTTTCGTTTGCGCTCCTTTGTATCGATCGTCAAAACCTACAAAGCTTTTTTTATTCTTGGCATATTAATAACCTGTTGAGAACATTTCATTTCCGTACTTTCCAAGTTATAATGTGGGCTAAGGGTTAGCAGACAGACAGACTGCGCATATGAGGAATATGGTTTTCCGTGATGTACTGGTATATCTCAATTTCCAAATTAAATAAATATAAAATGAGGTCCAAATTTCTTTCTGAGCTTTGTCAGGGCCTAATTTAATCTAAAAATCTTGGTGCATTAATCGATACTATTTTTTGGGTACTTATGAGAGCTTACCGTACGACTTTGTACACATTTCTCTAGTGTAGTGCATCGTAAATTTAAACGTAGATGATGATGATTTGTGAAGATTGAGTTTTATTTCATCTGCGAAATTCACTATAGTACGATAGAGCAGATTATTTTCGCATGTTGGTGTATTAATGAAGGAGCTTTCGATTTCCAACCTGACAGTTATATGCATTCAATGTATTTAAGAAGTAGGCCTTTTATCGCACGGACAAAAACAGTATGTTAAGTATGATATAGTAACTGTACCAAATATTGCCACCTTAAGAGTTATTGCCATAAATAGTTTTCATTTTTCACAGTAACGGAATAAAAACTGAGATATACACAGAGAAATATATTTTCTATAACATACGTTTCAGGCATTTCAATAGGATGAATACAAATGGACTTATCGTAGTTCTTTATTATAATATCTGGTGACAATATTAAGCTTACCAGTGCTCCTATTATTGCCACATCGTATGAACATTAAAAACATTCAGTAAAATTAACAAAATATTGAAAAATAACATAAAATAAAACTATAAAACTCATAATCGTAGATGAAAATGGTAGGTACTTGAAAAATTTTCAACTACAACAGGGACAAATAAATATTTATTTATCTTCTTTGATCAATCCTATGCAAGCTTTTGAGCTTTACTGTTCAACGCAGGCTTTCTTTTTGTTGTGGGTACTTTGATTTCGGGAGTAATGAGTAATCCTGTAGCCGTGAATGAATTGTCTGGAGGTGAGCTTGTGGCTGTTTTAGAGACAATATTCTCTCTATTTTTGAGAAGTATGAGTGGAACTTCATCATCGCAAAAAGTGTTTGGCGGTTTATTTTTTACGGAAAATGAGCTTTGCTTATGGCATTCGTTTAATCTGTCCACGCTGATATTTTGGTGTTTCCAAGTAGCCAAGGGTCTTCAATAGAAGTGTTAGCGGATGTATCATCATGTAGACTAAAGTCCGATAATGACTCGCTATCTGAAGAATATGCTTCACGATATATTTTTTTTGCTTTCTTGTTTTGTAACTGTCCTTTATTCCCACTTGTACTTGCCTTAGATACATTATTCATCGATGCGGATGATTCGGAACTCTCGGTCCTGGCTACAGTATTTTGAAAACCGAGTTCACGATTTTCTTTGTCCTCTTCTCTGTGAGAAATTGCACTTGGTGCGTAAGCAGACTCAGGTAGTGCATCCGGCCTGAATGGGTATATCCCTGTGGCTCTAAACCCAGAAATTATGTTTGATGGTGTCATTGCCTTTAACCAAACAGTCGTGAAAATTTCTCCAAATCTAATTTTAGTCAAGGTCTTGCCAGGGTTAGTTGTTAGAAAGTGCAGAACTTCTTGATCCCAAAATGTTTCAAAGCTGCTGAAAACGGATTTGTCCATGGGCTGCAACTCATGAGACGTGTTACTTGGAAGACAAAATAACGTTATGTTCATGCTATCGGCTGCTTCAACTATTGAAATATCAAGATGACATTTCACGCCATCAAAGATTAATAGAGTAGGAGGTGTTTTTGAAGGAAGCAAAGTGCTTTAACCACAAAACAAACGCTTCGCACGTCATACTACCTTTTTTTGTGACAATACATTTTGAGCCTAGTGGTAAGTGATCAGACCATTCAGGTTTCAGTCTTTGACCTTTGAAAAGGATAAATGGTGGCACAGACTGACATAGCGCATTTCCACAACCTACAATTGTAACGTTCGCGACATGTTCAGGAGCAGTTAAATGTACGCGCTTAGACCCTCTCTTAGCTAGTACAATTTGCTGATTGTGTATTGTTAATCTGCATCCCTTCTTGTCTATGTTGTATATGTTACCTGGTTTGTCAAACAAGCCCATATTTTCCATAACATCCTTTAATTTGCTGAAGCAATCACCAACTATAGGTTTATTTAGTTTTTGAGCACGCGCAATGTTCATTTGTTGTGCCCTCCGGCGAGATACTTCAGGATGTCTAGTTAGGAACAGCTTCAACCATTTTCTTCCAGCACATTTTGATTGCTTCGAAAACGATTCGGTATGTTGTTTTCACAAACGTAGGTATATACACTTTTCATCAAAACTTTGCTAGTAATAGGCATTCCGACTTCAGATAATCTATGAATTCTCGTAACAAGATCATTTTTTACTTGTTCCGGAAACAGAACTGAAGACCTTCCAAGCTTCTTTTTGAAATTTTGTTTTCTATGATGTAGTCCTAGAGTTGTTCGGGGAATTCCATACCGCTTGGCAGCACTTTTGATTGAAGTGCCATTTGCTATGGCCAGTAATGCTGAGTGGAGGCCCGCTTCTGTCCACAATGCCCGTGTCTTTGGCATTCTGGAAGGAAACATTCGTGCATTTTCAAATAACATAGCTGAATTTTCTGAATTTTTGCTTGAATCCTAATATTGCCATTGGTGCCTCTAATATTGCCACTGGTGGTCCTAATACTGCCACTGGCTGTATTAGGTATACCATTCTATGGCAATATTAAGAACAAATGCAATGCAGAAAACATTTCCATTTATATTTAGAAAAACATACAGAATCAGATACATAACATGTGGAACAATAACTATAAATATGCACCTACCTGCAGCAGTATAGAAATCTGAACAGTAATGTGTTATAATTGTGCACACGCCAGGTAATGAAATGATTTTCTTATAACAGAGAAGTAGAACAATTTTTGGCGTGCATCCACACCAGACGCTTAACCTCAACTGAAACCGACAACGTGGTAAGGAATATATGGCTACCCCAAAAGACGTTCCACGTTTCCAGATTTCATATAATGTCTGAAAAATATGCGCTTCCTGGGGTGGCGTTATTAGGATCTATGGCAATATTTGGTAAACTTACCTTATTTTATTGACCAATCTAACGTTTTTCCATCTAAATTCACTTAGGAAGCAGTACACAGTAATTCTTACAAAAATTGGCACGTTATCTACTGAGAGGACACATGTTTCGTAACTTGTTACATGAATGTCTTTCTTGAAGGTTACCGAGATACCGCGTTTCGAATAGGTAATGTCAGCTCTCGCGCTATTGTATTGGCACCGAGCATTTGGCAGACCCCATCAATGCAGGAACGTAGCCATGCGCTACCGGTCACACTAAATACGGCAATTAATTAACATAATCGCCACTTAAAGCCAGACTTACGACCGCAAATACCGACAGGATTAGCTTTACTATTTTGTTTACTATTTGAGGTTCACTGGACGGATGTTATAAAATCCTGTTGGCTTGCGACAATACAGTATTGGATTCAGTACTATTGTCACTAGACGTGCGATTTAGTTGAGGCTTACCAAGAACCTATCGCTTACAATTCATTTTACAGCCCTAAAATGTTATCGTCACAAAAATGGCTATGAAATGTTTGTTCAATGGATTTTTCATTCTCCAGCAGCCGCAAGATGCCTGAATGCCGACCAATGGCTTGGTGTACAGTCCTCGAAAGAGCTAAAATACATTATATAAATTTGATGGATCTGTTTATCGGGCCGTGCGCGCCACCAGGGGAATTTAATAGATTCCTTGTAAGGCTTGGCCTTCCAATAAAATCGGACATGAGCATGAACGGCTTATGTTAGGTAGACTATTGTGTTTTATAAGCTGTTTGAAATTTTTTGCAACACACTCAAATGTAGTGGGGACCGTCTATAATGATATCTACTTCCTGATCGAAAATGAGATCAGTCACCCACCTTCAAAGCTGAATCAGCTGACTCCACAATTATGTGAGCTAGGAAGCCACTTGTGGATCCCTGGTGTCTCACGCAACAGATTGCTGTAAATGAATAAGTAAGGAACCATGTTATGAGTCTAAACACCACCGCGAACGATGTGGATCCATTATGTCTCCACATATACTTCGCCTAGACTAGGCTAGATTCTTTAATCATATTCTACAGCCTTGATACAAGGCTTTCATGTAGCTTTCCGCTGTTGGACTAGTGATTCTGAGTACCTATGACATTAACCTTGCCAGACCTTGACAGTGAGCCAACAGATACCCTAAGGTGGCCTCATGTTCTCAGCAGATCCGACATGCGACCTCTTTTGCTAGACCGGTAATGTATCGTTCGATCTGGTATCATTGGAGGCACCGGGCTTGGAAGACAGGGAAACATGTGATCCATCTTCAGTACAAGTTTGAACTCGCTCGAGTTACATTTGAGTCACACCACCGTTCGTCAGATCAAGAACAACTGGGTATTGTATGACCATAACGTTCCTTGTCACACATCAATTTCAATAAACGCCTTTTCGGTCAGTTAGAATATTCCTGTGGCTGCTCACCCTCCTTATTGGCCTGACTTTTTTCTCTTCCCGAAGTTGGAAAATCACTTCAAAGGATCTCATTTTTCGACGGTCGAAGACATTAAAACGGCTGTAACCGACCAGCTGAAGCCTATTCCAGTATTCGAGTTTCGGAACTGCTATGAGGAGTGAAAGAACCATCTCCAGCGATGTGTGGTTTAGAAAAAAGTTAGATTTTAATGAAAAAATCAAAATCGATAGACTCTTCCCTTAATTTACAGACCTCGTATGTCGATTCAGATGACAGTGACCAGCTAGGGGACCAACTATGGTCCGTATTGACCTTAAACTAGCCAAGTCGTAATGCTCGAGATGTCTAGAATCATTTACAACAAATGCACATACCCGAAATTGTTAGGATAGATACCTGGTCAGAGTGTGTGCAAATTAAGGTCCTCAAATATTTCTTATTTGAATGTGTCATGGTCATTACCCTGAAAGAGGTTTTAACCATTGAACGTTATTGAGAAAAATAGAACCGTTGTGACTAAGACACGATTTACCTTTTTGTATTAATGCTCATGAAGCGAATTGATTGTCCTACGTATTCCCTGTTAGAATATGTTTTCGTTGATATTTGCAATACAAACGTTCGGTCTGATAGTACTTTAAAAACTGTGATGTATTTGTTCCAACTAGACCCGCTCTTTGTATTCTTCGGGCAAAAGTCCAGAGTCCTAAAACATCTATACCACGGCAATGATCAAGTCGGCACCAGAAGTTTGTTAGCGTTTGATACCCCGTCTAATATGTCCGAATGGTACTTGGTGAGTTCTTCTTCCTTTTCCTTTGTTCAGTGCCTTCAAGTTGCCGAGAATCTTTTTCAAAGTATCCCTTTGATCGGTTTAGTTAGTGTTCAGGCAGGGGTAGAAACTTCAACATCTCTCTGAGAGTCAAGAACTGAAAAAGGGGCAGTTTGATTAGTTCGTCACTAGGTGCTAACAAGGAGTTACTCCTAATAGTAATTACCTGAATCAGGCACTGTGTCGTGAATTTTATTACAGCTGGTTTTACACAGTACCTGGTTTAAGTGGTAATAATACTCGTTACGATCGATCATATCTCAGTTTATTGAAGCTAACCCCGCTTGAAGTCAAATACAGCTCTGTGGTAATAGTTGTTTATGAGTTGTAAACTCGTGAGTAAGAGATTCCTGCAACACCATAAAAAATTAGCTTCTGCTTTTACGCTTCATCTGTAGTCCTGTAGGCGAGACACGTAAGGCAATTTCAGAATATGTTCTTTACTTGTTGAGGATATTCAAACGAGACTACCAACTTGTAAAATGTAATCAACAGAAACATGCTTTCAATGTTTCACATCCCTACTATACAGGGTGCTCATTTGAAAACTTCCCACCACGGATTTATCCAAAACCACTGATTAAAACAAAAAACGCCGAGTCATTCCAAGATTTGTCAAGGGGGCAACTTTTTAACCAAAAACTACTTCACCCCGTTTCACACTCGGCTCACCAGGTTCAATCTTTTAAAAAATTTCAACAAGTTGTATTGCGTATTAGCTTGTTTGAAGGGTCTTTCGAGGTCCTCTATTTTGACGTTTTGACAGATAACAAAAACACACGAAAATGTCACTTTTCATTTCAATAAGTATAACAAAAAATGAGATGATGATTCAAAAGCATATAAGAGACAGAGCTAAAACGGAGAGAGCAAAAGGAAATACAGTCAAGTTAGGTTATATGAACTTGCTGATTAGTGGAGAAAAATGGAGATGGGATAAAAAAGACCAGGTGTTGAAACCGGACACATTGATTCAAAAAAACTAGTTATGTTTAGAGAAAAGGATATCTTGGAGACGACAGAAAATGTGGCTCTGACAATGGAACAGGTAAGGAACAGGAATAAAAATAACGAAAGAAATAAGACGTTAAGTACGTATAAATTTAAAGAAGAGCAAATAAGAATTGCAACTTGGAATGTCAGAAGTATCTACGAAGCAGGTGCACTGAAAAACTTAGTCAACATAGTGAACGTATATAAAGTACACGATCTAGCTCTTCAAGAAACGAAACTTAAAGAAACAGGAATATCCCAGTGCGAAAATTTCGTATTTTGTAATAGCGGTGGTGCAAATAGACTTTTTGAGACAGGATTTCTAATAAATGCAAAGCTAAAAGACACGATAGTAGAATTTAAACCTATATCGGAAAGATTGTGTTATCTACGCCTGAGAGGAAAGTACAGGAAAGTAACAATGATCAATGTACATGCCCCAAGTGAAGACAAGGATATGGATATCAAAACAGACTTTTATCAACAGTTAGATGACGTGATAAATAGTCTACCAAAATACGATATCAAAATAATATTAGGAGACTGCAAAGCAAAAGTTGGGCGTGAAGACACTTATCGAAACGTTACAGGAGGGAAAAGCAAACATGAACTCTCAAATGAAAATGGAAAACTCCTGATTAACTTTGCAATTGAACAAAATTTCAAGATAATGAGCACTTATTTTGACAGGAAAGATATCCACAAGACAACATGGATCTCACCAGATGGTAATACTGCCAATCAAATTGACCACGTACTGATCGAAAACAAGCATGCCTGCAATATACACAATGTTAGAAGTTACCGTGGTGTAGATAGTGATACGGATCACTTTATGGTAGTAGCTGTTATAAAACAAGAAATGCCGAAGAAACATTTAGAGAGACAGAAGACAATCAAAAGGTACGAAACAAAAGCACTAGAAGATACGTCAGTTAGACAGCAACTTGAACAAGCAATAGCGACAGGACTGCAGAACACACCAGTTGTGCTGGATATTAATCAGGAATGGAATCATATCCAAGCAATAATCACTAATGTAGCAGAACAGATGATGAGAAAAACGAGTACTAGAAAAAACAAAGAGTGGTTCGATGATGACTGTAAACGGGAATTGGAACAAAGACAGAAAGCAAAAATACAAATGGATGTATCTAGAACAACAGAGTCAAGGAAAAGATATGAGCAAGCCAAACGAAAAGTGAAAGAGATGTGTAGAAAGAAAAAGCGTGAATACTGGGAAATGGACTTGAAAATGATAGAAAATCACATGATCAACAAAAACATTAAGAACTTTTATCAGGATGTAAGAAGAAGCAAATTGGGTAGTCAAAGGTCTTCTTGCTTCTATAAAGACAAAGATGGGTCGTTAATTGGTGACATTCCAGGAAAATTAGAAAGGTGGGCCAGACATTTTGAGGAACTATTAAAGCTATCAGACGAAGAGGAAAGGAACACGGAAGCAGCACCACTAATCGAAGATGATAATCAGGGACAAATACACGAACCAACGGATCTGGAAATAGAGGAAACAATAGGAAGATTAAAATACAATAAGAGTCCAGGAGAAAATGGAATCACAGCAGAAATAATAAAAGCGGGTGGACAAGATTTACACAAGCGACTTGGAAGTCTGATCAGATATATATGGAACCAAGAGGAACTACCAGATGAATGGAAAAACGCCGTAATCTGCCCAATACACAAAAAAGGTGATAAAAGTTCATGTGAAAACTATAGAGGCATTGCCCTGCTAGACACTGCTTATAAGATACTAGCATTTCAACTAAGGGACAGATTGAGCATATATGAAAATGAGGTTATAGGTGAATATCAAGGAGGTTTTAGAAGGGGCAGGTCCACAATAGACCAAATATTTACAATGAAACAGCTGTTCTATAATAGCTATGAACAAAATCTTGGTTTACACGCATTATTTATTGATTTCAAGCAAGCGTATGATTCCATTGACAGAGAAAAATTATATGAAGCTATGAGACTGCTGGGACTACCAAGTAAACTGCTAAGGTTAGTTAAAATGACAATGAACGGGACAATGAACAAAGTCACATTGGAAGGGAAAACATCTAGAGCTTTTGGCGTAACGAGAGGCCTGAGACAAGGGGACCCGCTATCTACAACATTGTTTAACTTTACGCTGGAAGCTATTTTACGTAATTGTGGTATACAAACCGACAGAGTTGTTTACTATAGAAAACATCAGTTGATTGCTTACGCCGATGATATAGCAATAATAACCAGATCCAAAGCAGAACTTGAGAAGACGATTAGAAGGTTAGAAGAAACTGCCAAACGTTTTGGGCTTCATATAAATGAAGACAAAACAAAATACCTTGAAATGAGAGGAAGCGATGAAGGAAAGTTAACAATAAAAAGTAGTTGCAGAGAATACTGTTTCGAGAAGGTGAATCAATTTGAATATCTAGGGGTCACAATAACAGATAAAGCAGAAGAAGATTTAGAAATTGAAAAAAAATAGCAAAAGGGAGTAAAGCAATGGGGGCTTTAAGCAAGATGATAAAATCGAGGTGGATATCGAGGAAAACAAAGGAAAGGATATATAAATCAGTTATCCAACCATCAGTACTTTACGGCGATGAAACTTGGGTGAAAACGTACAGAAATTGGAACGCTGGGAAAGAAAAATGTTACATAAAAAATATGGGGGCACAAAAAACAACGATGGTACATGGAGAAAGCGAACTAATAAAGAACTGATGGAGATGTATAACCAGTCCAGTATAATACAAAAAGCCCTAGCTCAAAGAGTGCGCTGGTTAGGACACGTTTACAGAATGCCGTCTCATAGGAATGCAAAAAAGTTTTGTTTGGAGGAGAAGGTAGTAGAAGAAGAAGAGGAAGACCGAAGAAGCAGTGGCTGGAAAGTGTCAAAGAGGATATACAAAGACTAGGCATACCAGACTGGGAAGAAAAGACCAAAAACAGAAAAGCGTGGAAAGAAGTTGTCAAAAAGATAGAAGCCTTCAGGCCTGAAGCGCTGAATTATATATAAGTATTCAAAATGTTTCCCGTTAGGGTTTGCCAATCTACAATTCGTTTATAATTTGAAACGGAAACTACCAACATAAACAGCAATTCGGAAGGTTAGACGTGGCAACAAACAAAGAACAACCCGAATTTTTTTCCGCATCCTTTTCATCAACACAGATATCCTGGGCGAACTGTATTTGTTGTTATTTCTGTTAGGTTATTTCTGGCTAAGAAAAAGAAAAAATTTAATTCACTGTCAGTTACCTTTGTGAAAATCTTGGGATAGTGAAAATTAGTTTATTGACTCAGATTTTACTCCCAGAATTTTTTACACACTAGCTGAAAGAGTAAGAAATGTTTCTAATTTATGATGCCCAAAATCAATGTACTCGGCAAACTGCCATCACGTTTACGCCAGACATCCGGCGAAGCTACTTCGCACAGGTATGTTTTGGACCTTGTTACTAACTTTATTCAAACTGGATCTGTTGCAAATAAAAAACATGAACATCGGAGAGTTTTGGATGGAGCTGCCCAAGTTGAAGTTTTGGGTCATTTTGGAATACATCCTAATACTTCATTACGCAAAATTGTTGCTGCGACTGGTATTTCATTAGGCTTTGTACACACAGTTACACTAAACTCCATAAATTTAATCCATTCGAAAATAAAATATAGTAAGACTTAACCGGAGATGACTTCGATAGGCGAGTTGAGTTTTGTGAACAAATGACTGAATTTAATATCTGCTTTGGTGATGAATGCACATTTTATCTAAATGGATTTGTGAGTAAACATAACTGCAGGTGTTGGAGGTTCCAAATAGCTGGTTAGGGCGAAAAGGGTCTATAGATCTATGGCGCCATAAGTTCGTCAACGCATCATCGAAAGCTGCCATGGTATCCCAAAGCATGTTTTTGAAAATGTCCGTAAGGAATTTGAACATCGCCTATATCATTTTTTAGCCAATAAAGGGCAACATTTTGAACACTTATTAAAATAAAAAGTGATATTTTCGTGGGTTTTTGTTTTCTATCTGAACAAATTAAGATAAATAAGGATTTTTCTATTTCTCTTGAAAACGAATCGACCGATTTTAAAAAATCAAACGTCAAAATAAAGAACTTCTAAAGACCTCTCAAACAACCTATTACCAGATACCGCTTGTCATTCAAAATTTTTTAGGGGATGACCCTGGGGGGCAGAGACTGAAAGGGGGTGAAGTAGTTTTTGGTTAAAAGGTTGTCTTCCTTGACAAATCTTTTAAAGTGACTCGGCGCTTTTTCTTTTAATAAGGTTAGAACTTTCAATACTCCCTTTTTTAAAAGAGCATTGTTATCGAATTTTTCATGTTATACAATATCCGTCGTTACCTAGCAGTCTACCTGTTGGTATTTCTATGACCGCGTAACCTCATAAATGGCTGAACCATTTTTGATAGAACTTATGAAGCAATGTAATGTTAGGTCATACGAGTAATCATTAGGGAAAGTGGTTCCGTTCTGGGAGTTTTTGAAGTAGTCAAAAATGTGCGTTTTGGGAATTTTGAACAATGTGGAACCTTGATTTTCATGCTTTTGATTTGTTCGGATCAATTTGCGACAATGGAGATGGTTTCTATTTACTATATTGAAATAACCTCAGAAATGAATGGAGTCAAATGTCCAGAAATATATTTAAATTGTTATTCTAAACTGTCTGACAATTTAGGGTGTATTTATGATAATTGTCGGACTTTCAAGTGAAAATATATATCACTACAGATAAAAATTGACATTGTAATGATGACCAGAAGTGGACCAGAAAAACTGTACAAGATGTTCAAGGTACGCATGCGTAAGTTGCGTTATTGCCATTATATTACATTACTAAGTATTTAAAGACATGGTTCTGGGTATATTGGTTCTCCTTCTGACTTTTGAACTGTTCAGTAAAAATTACTAGGCCGTGTTTAAGAAACCTTAGTTGATAATGGTTTCTGCTTCCCCCGCCTACTGGCGGGGAAATAGCGTAATCGTGAAAATAGTCGAAAACGTGCTATTATGTTTTTTGATGTTATTTATGTACATCACAAAAACCATGTTACTAGTTTTTGTTGGTCTGTCTGTCTAATCCAATAACCGCCTACAACTTGAGAAATACCGCTCAGATTTTGATAGAATTCTTACACAACGGCACTACTATGCCAAGGATAAAAAAGCTTGATAACTTTTGAATATTGGTTCAGCGGCGGCGGATAAAAGGGTCAAAAACGAAAAAAAAAAAATGAAAATTGCTCAAGCTTCGTGTTTTCACATTTCAACATTTCAGAAAATTCTGATCATTTCTGAAAAAAAGATTTAAAGGTGAAAAATTTGGGGGTGGGATGGGAAGGGTTTATCTCAATTTTTTGACGATTGTGTATTTATACGCTCGACATTTTGGTAATTCTGCGCGCCTATTTGACATATTTCACACATCATAGATTTCTCCGTATATTAGTCCTAAAAATTTAGAAAAATATTATCTGCAGACGGATCGCGAACCTATGGACCGCGTCTGTTCCTCCTGCCAGCAGCGTGCCGCTGGCCACGGTGAGTGTTCTGTTAGTACACGTGTTACTGTTGCGCCACAGCATAGTGTTTCCTATGCTGTGACCGCGCTGCCACGTCCGACCGGGTTAGGTATCGGGAAGAGTTGCCAGATGGACTACCGGTAGGACAGGGAAGATGTCTATGGACTATTTATATGGACCCTCTTTATGAATTGATAAGGGCGTTGGGTGGGAAGTGGAAGGGTCAACATACTTGATGCCATTTTTTGTACAACTTTTGCTTTATTTAACGAACGTTGTAATTCTCACTTTTCAAGGTCATGGCACCTTCCTATCCTTTTGCCGGGCACCTGGTATACTTTTCTAATCCGCCTAAGAATAGTCTTATCTTTAGGCAACAACAGACCATGAGGCCCAAAAATCTATTAGTCACATATTATCAATTTTTGAGTCAGCATATTCCTCGCCATATTCTGGGTGCCCAGAAGGTACTTTTAGGATCATCAAAGTTTGCATCTGAGTCAAATTTCTACATAACCTTAAGGCTTATAGTGATCGAAATCAAACATTCGTAGAGATTGGTGTGACTGGCGGGAGCTGTGAGTGCGCTGATTTGATGATAGTGAGGTGTATTCAAATTATTTTGAAATACAATAAATTTTATGCCATACCCTAGGTAAAACTGATAGTAATCTGTGATTTACCTATTCGGCATGTTACACCTGTAATCCTCATAGGTAATTTGATGCCTTGCACCCACCTCTGTACCTCTGCAGACAAGAAGGTGCGTGAGAAACAAGCAGACCGTAACTCATTGTCCGAAATCGATATCCTCAAATCGAGCTAGGTATTAATCAGAAAAAGGTCCAGTCTCTTATAAATCCCTGTCGATAGATCCTGTTCCGAAATTGATTTTAATGCCAGGGAGTATTAATGGTTCTCCTAGACAGTTAACCAAGACAAATACGGCTTGGCGATTCGCAAACGGAGCCTTTTCGTGAAGTTGGAGTCGCACGCGAGCGTATGGTTAGGATTTTTTGCTTGGTGATGGATCATTCGCTCTCTATGATTGATGATTTCTGATTTTTATTTTTTTTTTTCGAAAATATTAGCTCGGAGCGATAACAGATGTTGTAGAGGAGATGAGCTTTAATAAATGTTATACTGTACGTTAAGTGTTGCGAAAGAAATTGTAAGACCTGTCTTCCCTGACGAAAACTGGAAAAAGGACCAAATCGCTAGACTCGGTACTTCTCACGTTCCTAATACATTTTAACATCCTATGTGCTGCTTTCAGAAATCTATGGCGTAACTTTGTAGAAGTTTGAAAATGTTTATGTATGTTTTTGTACCTTATCTGACTCAATTCGGGAGAAATTATTAATTCTGGAGGGGGGTGAAAAACTATTCAAGTATTTATTTAAATCGATTCATTTAATTTGACAGTAATTTAATAAATACTAATTCTAAGAAAAGAGCTCGTGATTGCAGCATAAGCAAGTGGGAAAAACTCGACAAGTACACCCCGATATATGTAAATCTTCAATCTCCTTCGAATGACACTTGAGTCATACGGAGGATTGCTTGGTAAATTGTAATTATATCTAAATCCTTTACATTCCCACGGCTCTAGGTTGTTCCAAAGAGCAAAAGAGCTTTATTATTTTTGCTCATAATCTCGATGCCGTTACATGTACTAACAAAAATACTACGACTCTACCATACCCAACAAAATCATTGTAGCCGTTTCAAGAATCATGCCGTTACAATTATACCGCTGGCATTAGTGACAAGTGACACGAAATCGACATCATAAAGCAACGAAGAAAAGAATAGTTTCCTCGCTCATGCTCCCTTCTGCTACAATTTGGAAGAGGATCCCAGGGTGCCATAAATACGAAGGGCACTAGAAAAGAATTCTACCTGGCCGATAAAAAAAAAAGTTGAAACGCGCAAGAATAATATGTCAAATAGTGACGAATGTTCTAACCTTACTTGCAAAACTTGAGTTGATTTTGATAGTTAGTTTCTAATTTATAGAGTGAATTGTGAAGAAAAACGACTAGCTCAAAATTAGAGTTTCACTGTGTCGCAAAATTTCTAACAAAAGAGGGTCATCAACCGAAAGCGGTTTTCGAGATAATGATTTCCGTTTATGGAGATGATGCCACTTTTGTATATGGCTAGGTAAATTTCTTCTCATACCTAACCGAAGGACAAGTACGTACTGGAGTCTTTCCGTGAAGCTGGAGACGCACGTCCGAACGTATGGTTAGGATTTTTTGCTTTTTGATTGCTGGTAGCCTTTCTGATTTTTGCGTGTCATCTGGAAAAAATGTCTTAGATTACATAGGGAAATGAGCGTTTATTAGTGACAGGTCTTTCTTACCTTTTACAAAAATAGTAAAAATTGTCCAACCAGGGAGTATCATTAGAAAGGAGTGGAGTCAACTAGAAGTAACCAAAACTTCTCATGCAATCATATTTCTTATCCATGTGTTGCAGTTTTAATGACACAGCATACTGAAAAGAAAAGTATTTCCTAGCTTTTTCCTCGTAGCACTACTTCACTTCACGTTACAGTATAGCACCGATTGCAGCTGTTTCTGAGAAACTAAATCTTTGAGTTTTTGTAGAGCAGACATCTTATATCATTCAAAACATTTTATCTGAGATTTGAAAGTTTTGACGTGCCACGTCTTGAGTATCTAACAAAGAATTTAGTCCGGTTAATGTTGACACAGCAATCGGCTAACCCGAAATTCTGCGTGTTGTCAAAAATATTAATCACCAAGGTTGTCAAATTAACAGTCCGTTATTCCCCACCTATAGGGTAACAGTCCGTCAAATACAGCGAATGAGCTTCAACATCCAATCAACAAATCTCAGCAACCAATACCTGTGAAATGTTGAAAACAGAATATTGTCAAAGTATGAGATGACAGCTTGTCTTTGAAACATCACCAGCTTATTGAATATTAAGAAATTACATATAATTCAGTCAAAATTTAAAGAAATGTTCGATTTTTGAATAAAATTCATGTTTTAATTACTATTGTTGGTTTTTTATTCATGTTTATATTATTTTCTTCAATTCATACGTTATTTAACATTACCTCCCATGTTTTTTTCCCCTATAAAACTCTTGCAGATAGCCATTAAACATCTACTTGATGACAGACTCTACCAAAAATTTCATAGATATTGCTTGTTTCCAAGCATACATTCATTTACTTGCCGTTCATTAGAATCATTATGGCACCTTAGATTGATATTCCCACAAAACCATTCAGGTTTTTGATATCCATACATCCATAAAGTTGAATATTTTTCGTTGTTCAGGAACTGAACAAACATACACACTATATTTACAGCGATTAAGAAATACCCAAATATATGTCGTAAACCTAAAACCTGCAAAAAAACTAGAAATTTGCAATATTTTTCTTTTTTCACGAGTACAGATTCTAGTTTATATAATTAGACATTATTTGAATAACAGCTGATTATTACATTTCAAACATTCCCAAGGAGTGACACATGTGTGGGATCCATCAAACCTTGGTCCCAGTCACAAAACATATACGAGCCCCTTCCCACTTCAGTTGGCCCACTCCAAGATTTGTACCAAAATATGCCTTTATAAACATGACGAAACTATTTTCTCCTAAAACAATTTATTTTCTCAAAAACATTTTAGATACACTCTAGTCGTAAAAAATACATATTTGAAATCACTTAGACCTATAACTAATAGAGCATCTGAACAAATAAACAATGTGCGAATAAATGCGCGAAGTTAACAAAGCAATAATTGAAAGATTACCATTGGGTAACATAACCTTTATTTTTTATTACGGCTGAAATTCTCTGGGGCATAGTGTTAACCAAGTTTTGGCAAAAATTCAGTGTAAAACAATCCCATATTTCTTGAAGCTTTTGTGTCAGTTCGGTGATTGTACGAGCAGGATGTTGTCCTAGAACCTTTTTCATCTCGTGCCACAATGTTTCAATAGGTGACAGACCTGGACTGCTAGAAACCCATTTCAAAAGTGGTACATTATTTTCTTCCATCCATTTCATAGTCTTTTTTGAGGTATGGCACGCTGCACCATTTTGCTGAAACACAAAATCTTGGCCGGATGTCAAACATTCTTCCATCACAGGTAAAAGCGATTCTTCTAAAATTGCCAAATATTTGTTTGTATCCCATTTCCATCAATAAAATGAAAATTTCCTACTCCTTTTGATAACATACGGCCTCAGACCATAATGGATGCTGGAAATTTCACTTTTCTCTTCAGACAGTCTACATGGAATGCTTCATTTTTTGCGAATAAATCTACTGCGACTCTCACCAACACAAACTTCGAATCGGGCCTCATCACTCCATTGTATTGTACACCATTGTTGAGGCGTCCATTGTCTATATTCTTTAGCCCATCTAAGCCGATTTTTCTTTTGCAGTGGAGTTAATATTGGCTTTTCTTTAGCCTATAAACAAGTTGTGCAACTTTAGGGCTTTTACTTCACTTTGTTTTTTATAAGAAAACTTACTTTGCAAGTGCTAAATCCCTAGTTTGTGGGCCTCTCTATGAGTTGTAAACCTCGAAATTCTCCTTCCAACAGCGTCACTCCACAGATCACTTAATTGTAAATAATTGGCACGCCTGTTTTTCACGATTATTCTTCTTAATGCTCTTCGGTCGGTATTTGTGATATTACTTTTTTTCACATATCCTGGCTTAATATTAACTGAACCAGTTACGTTATATCTTCTAACAATATTTCTCACACTGTGAAGCGATAAGTCTAAGAAAGTTGCAATTTCTGAGTTTGATTTCCCAGAATTAAAAAATTTAATTATCGGTAACCGAATTTTCTCACTAATAACCTTTCCTCTACCCATTTTGAAAACCTTAACTACCCAAAACTATTTTAAACGTATTCTGATAGCTGTGATTAATAAAAACAATTGTCATGGCTTTTATTTTTCACAGCCACCTATGCATTATAGACTTATTTTGCATTGAAATGGAAATATGTTGATATGCTGTAATTGCAACATGTGTTATTTTTATGCTGCAAATTTGATTAGGGAGTGATAACGTTGGTGTTTTCTACTAGATATTATCAAAATATTCATTGCTAATATTTTAAACCTATAACACCCTGCTACATTTTTATTATTTTTGTTTGATAAGAAAAAAACTAAGATTTCAATAGTTGTGTGGTTGTCAGCGGCCATTTTTTCAGGGTGCGACATGGTTGCCAGATTGTGCAATAATATCTCGTTTCAACCCCCCTGGTCCCAGTCGATTACGCTCCGCCAACTGTTGAAATATACTCTACTATGCTTTATAAGACTATTCGAGGAATTTTTCCAAAAATCGTTGCTCAACACTTAAAAAAATGCAAATGAAAATTTGAAACTATTTCCATGACGCCCCAAAATAGCTGCGTCGGTAACTCGGGTGATACATCTTGACAGTAGGGAGGTTCGATACGATCCTATATTTAGAAGTATCGATACTTTTGCTTCCCATACCCGATATTTTGGATCGATATTTTTATATACGACACTTGGGTGTATCGATACATTTCACGAGTATCGTCATCTTTCGATCCGGACTGTGTCAGAAAGAGTGACTAACTTCAGATTACTTTTCTTCTTTGTGTCCTTCCGCTGGATATCGATAATTTTATTCCAATATTTTAGAGTAGCGATACTTCCTAAAACGATAAGAATCGATACATAATGATACGTTTCGTGGATCTAAACATCTCTAATCTTGACAGCTTGTCGTTCTTGTCAGCTGGGCTTTACTATCTTACATTTTGCTGATATCTTTTGACAAATAAAAGCTTCAAGTGAAATATTGACGAATATGAAAGGATATGCATGGAATTTAGAATATAAAATCATATTGCAAATTTCAGATTGTCTATGCATGGACTTGAACCGGATTTTTCGGTACTTCTACCGAAAAGAGAATATTTACCGATAACATCATTCTCCACGATTTTACAAAATAATTTAAAAATTTCTATACTTGTCAAAAAAGAGCTGAAACCAAAAATAAAGCTAAACGTTAATTTTATGGAGTATTCATTGTTTTATGCCCCATATCAATCATACATATGCATACACACTCAGGCAGTCGGGCACACGAGAGGCGTAGATTTGGGTTGTCAATGATTACTAACACAAAAGGTACAGACTGGTAGATTACCGTCATTACCTCATCACCGAACAAGCAATAAAGAAACCGAAACCTGTCTGTTTTCAAAATAAATATTTAATTAAAATGAGAGGTGACTTCATGGGTGAAACAGAAAAATATTCAAATCCCTTAGACTGGTTTGCAAAGTACTTTGAAAGAGCGACCAGTATGCACATTGTAGAAGTTGTCATATAGAACTATGCCCTCAAAAAACATGTAACAGACGTTTTTTATGACTCAAAGGTCCTTGATCTACCACTGATCTTGGGACGGCATTTACCTTGTACCGAACTCAACGACACTATTTACCGATTCCGTTTTTTTCCGGTTTGGCAACACTGTAGATCACTTTAAAAGCAATCGATATCCCAGACGTGTCATAATAATAGAAATAATAAGAAAATATAACAATGTTTCGAGATGTATTTTCATAAATAGGTATTTTTGATTCTGACTTATAGTATAATATCTAGACGACGAATAATAGGTGGATGCGGATACTTTTACAAATATCGTTGTTTTAGGACCCAGAAATACAGAATGTGCTGTTTGTTTACATTTGGTGTAGCTTTCTAGATCATAAATTGGAAAACATTGTTTTAGATGTAACAAAATATGATGAACCAGTTGGAATACATTTTATAGGTATCCTTTTTTTTGCAAAATAACAAAAATCGGTACATTTCTACAGGTACGTATTATGTACAACAACCTGTACGTGATCTACAGACAAAACTAGATTGCCATGCCTGAACAGTCGTCAAAAACAGTGAAAACATCCTACCTAATATAATAGCTAGAAAATCGACCTATTATTTGCCGCATTCCCATTGGTCCCACTTATATAACTGACCGTCTTTTCTGAAATGATAAAAATTTTAAATTTTATGAAAGTTGTCCTACTTCTAAAGCACAAAGACATAACATTACATCTATAATGTACCTTTATTTATAAGGCAACCGTTTTTTTACGACTTTATTCAACATTTCAATAGAAATCACTGATACTCTGAGAGCTTTGACAGCTTCTGTCAAATTCCATTTCGATAAGGTCTTTTCCTATTAGTCCAACTGACCGTCAAATATTAATGTTGGTGAAATTGTCCCTTAGACAATTTCTTTTAACTTGCTGTATCATGTGTGGATTACTGCGGAGACCGGTGCTCGCAGTAGCAATCCGTACTCTTAAGACTTGTACGGTTGGACTTTACATATAAAGCACATTGAAATTTTGTAGGTCTTTCTACAATATGTCCACGTAAAACTAAGTGTTGTACACTTGTTCTGTAGCTGTACGTGTTGCCTAAACATCTATGATGGTTCAGCTACCAACATTTGGCTCTGATGTGATGTAACATCTGTTTCAGAGATGGCTTTATTTGAGGTCTGAGCTTGAAATGTTTGCAAAGCTAAAAATAAGTCGCGCAACCGCTCTTTCTTATTCAACCTGGAAACTGGATATGCAAATTTGCTGAATTTCAAAAAAGAGAGCGATAAG